CTCCAAAGTGATGCAAAATTCGATGTTCAAACATTCTCTCAACTCCTGAACGCATTAAGGCCATCAAGGAATTGGTCTCCCCGCGGGGTCTTGGCCATTAAAATTTGATGCACAGGGGCATCCGGACGGAGCCGCGCAGAATTGTCTTCCGGAAAAAATTCCGTTACTCCACATGTTGGAGCTTTTAAACCGTCTGAAAGATTAAACTATGTCACTCGCCGGAATGAGGGTTTCCTGCCACGCCGCACACGGGACCGGGTCATTGAAAGGAATTGGACAAAATCTCGAAACTTTAAAAAATCATACTATCGAAAATATGAAGCAAGAGAGTTTAAAAGTGGCTTTGTTTGTGTTTTCACAAAATTTCCTTTTAGCAACACCCCTTGAAATCGAATTTTCGAAGGAATATGAAGCAAGAGAGTTTAAAAGTGGCTCCGTTGGTTTTTTCGCAAAATTTCCGTCTTGCAACACCCATTGAAATTGAATTTGTGAAGAAATAAACAACAAAATTTGAAACTTTATTATAAAAACCGGTTATATTTAACCGGAATGAGGGTTTCCTACCGCGCCGTACACAGGACTATGAGTCATTGAAAGAACTTGGACAAAATCTGAAAACTTCAAAAGATCATATTATCACAAATATGAAGCAAGAGAGTTTAAAAGTGGCTCCGTTGGCTTTTTCACAAAATTTTCTTCTAGCAGCATTCATTGAAATTGAATTTGTAAGGAAATAAACAACAAAATTTGAAATTTTAGCCGAAAATGTCATGTGCGACCTCTTTTTTAAGCTGGTTTCACTGTGCGCCGCGCCGTCAAGGCTGAACGTTGAAGACGGACCGAGACGAAGAAGTTTGGGAAGTTGAGCTGAGCATTATGATTTGTCGTCGCGCTAACTCAAATGTCTCCCGGAAAATGAAAATATATAAAAATGATCGCATGGAAATATGGAAGCCGGATTGTAAACTCAGCCTCGGGCCAGCGCAGCGCTCAGATCCGGTCTCTACTCCCGGATCGAGGAGACAGTGTTGCCAAAACTGCACAGTTATCAGATTAAAAAATTCATTTTCGAATGAAGATAAGCTCCGTGACTCAGGTGTTTAAATGTGTCAGATGGATTTAAGTTTAGTGTAAATGGTCCACGTTTTGCAATTAGGATCCACGATTTCTAGCTCAGTTTAGAAACAACGTACGTATCATTAGTTTCCCTGGGCACATAAGTGTTTTTACAGGTGAGCCAGACACTGTAGTTTCAAATTGAATAAATTTCCGGAAAAAGGTGACAAATGCAAAAATCTAGTATTCAGCAAATTGCGTATGAAAGTTTACTTTGTTTTGTTTCTATAGACACGCAATAAGTGATAAAATCACGCAAAGGTCAAATGGACATATCTCTGCCAAACGGAACTATGTGCATTATGACATGAGCCCTGTTATGCATATATTCTTATTGGTCTCAGGGCTCATGTCCGTATGCACATAGTTTCGTTTGGCAGAAATGAGTTCAATTCCAAAGTAGAATATGTTAGAGTTTGAAATAGTCGTAACCTTTAAACGGCAATGTAAATACACGAGTTCATAAATATTGCAAAACATGCGATTGTGTTATGCCCCCTTTTTTCGGCAAACAAATTTTAGGAACTAATGATGATGAAATATTATTCGGGTTGAGATCAAATAAAATATGTATTTCTCCAAAAATTAACATAAAATATTCTCCTTGACATTAATGTAAGATATCTTGTCATTAAAATAAAAAGAAAAATATAATTTTGAGATTTTACAGATTGTCAAGGAGATTTCAAAACCGAGTGGTTAGTTTTACGAACCGAAAAACACCGGCTCAAAAGCGAAACCCATAAGTACTGGGCAAACTTATGCCAGGTGTTCTTATCATTCGGAAAAATCAGCAAAATTTCGATATAATAAAAAAAAGTGATCTGTTTGAGTTCATTTTTAACCTCGGAGCGGAGTTAGGCTCCTCAGTCCGGGAAGAAACGATGCATGCACAATTTCTTCAGAATGACGAGATAAAGTCCAAATAGGATCGGAAAAATTGGCAAAATTGGCAACGCTCAATTATCAGTAGAGTCTAAGAAGCCGCTGAAAGTCTGGGCATCCTTCCCTTTGAGACCTAGAAGCAGGATCCTGATATGAGATATTCATGTAAGCGCGCGAGACGCTTTGCAAAGTACAAAGAATGAGATGCGGGATCGGGTTTATGTGTGACGTAGAACGACGGAATTCTTCCACCAGCCGGTCAAAGGGATTTTTTTTTTTTTTTTTTTTTTTTTTTTTTTTTTTTTTTTTTTTGCATGATATAGCTGATACAACATAATAAAATCCTCTGTTGAATGTTCCTGGGATAAGAGCAGGAACAAAGTATAGACTAACGAACGAAAGAACGAAACTGAAACGAAATTTTTGGATCCATCAATATTCCCACAAAGCTAAGACACACACAAATGATGAATTAACTGAAACTTGAGGAGCGCAAACAACTATGAGGGTTTTGAAAATGTGTAGGAATTATGTATTTTTTTCTCTTTTTTTCTTGTAATTTAGTTCAGTTTTTACAATATGTTGTACAAGATGTTTTCAAGAGTCTGGACTCTAGATCCAATGTGTTTTTCTTCCAGTGTACCCATTGCTTGCAAGAGTCGAAACCACGACGCCACACACTGGATCGAGTCGATCATAGAGGTCGCACATGACATTTTTGACTAATTGTAAAACTTCAAATTTTGATGTTTAATTCGTCAGATTTTAAATTTTGAGGGGTGCTCCTGCAAGAAAAGTTCACGAAGAAACCAATGGAACCACAACTAAAATCTAAAAGTTTTGTTTTAACGGAGTTATAAGCCTTTAAAGTTTCCAAATTTTGTCCGACCTCTCCCATTGACTCGATCCACCGTGCGCCATACGGCACTTTCAGCCCTGAGCCTGGAACGGACGTTATGTTCAGGTAGCCCGGAACTTTTTTTCTTGTATACCTACAGCACGCTGATGGAAACATAAATCGGTCGACCGCGACCGTTGACGCCCGCGGAAGAGCGAAGCACATCAGGTGAAATAAAATCAGTTAATATGAACTCGAGGGGGAAATGGGAGGGAAAATCGCTTGGCCGAGCGAAGATTCGACACGAGAGACTCCGGATCAGAAGCGGGAGAAAGTTATAACCCGGGAGAAAATAAGAAACTCCGTCC